ATTTGAATGTAAAGACATATCCAATTACAACGCCCCCCGTCCCGTCCCCCCCCCCATAAGCCCGACTGCTGACATAGTGACATATGGTAGCGGAGCGTTATGGCATTAGTGTAAAGTGGAAGACAGCAAGGCCGCCTTTGATCACTTAGACTTGTCCTCTTATTTCAACCTGCAGCCCCACGGCTCCACCTGTACCCCGGAGAATCACGTCTGGGTTTGCCTCTACACCTGCATGCGCACAGCTCCATGTGTCGCATTTAAATGCCAAAAGCTTCTTCTTCCACGTGACCCTGTGTGGTCGAGGGGGCCGTTAGCATTCACACAAGGGGAGCCCGGCCCCCTTTGCGTGAATATACAAGGGGTATGAAGCAGGGCGGAGCCAAAGAGAGGGTCTCCGGCTACAGGGCCGGTCTGGTGACCGGGACCGGCTCGTCCACTTTAATATGAGGCCGGGACCAGGTGGAGAGGTGGCTGCTGCTGGGTGGGGAGAGTGTCAGGTTGGACTGTAGAGTTTAAGGTGTGGCTCTCTGGTAACACACACTGGATGCCTCTCACTATGATCCCCTAGCCAGACCACTGGAGGGGATGAAGGAAGAGAACCCAGTGGATGGTAAGAAAACTTAAAAGCTTTTCTTAAATTTAACGATGACTAACGCTGACTTTTTTCCCCCTTTAAAACAAATCTCAATGTGTCGGCCGTTAGAAATTAGAAATGTTTCTATATCACTGTACATGAAAAGGGTATTTTTGCCACTGTAAGGGGAGCATTCAAAGCCAAATGGCGCTATTGCCCTTGTTGAATTAAGATAGAAATACATTTTTGTCAACCTAACATACATAGATTCCAAAAAAATTCAAGGTTAAATGACCAAACAAGGTTTTTTATTAAATCCAAATACAAGACGTTGTTTCCATGTAACGTGGATAATTTTTGACATCATTAGAATCTGAAGTTGGCATATGTTCATAAATGGAATGTATTGAGAAGGGTTGCATTAGATTGATATGAAGTTTAGCTTTTGTGCACTTCCTGCAGCTTACCTGGTTAAGCTTACCCGTTTAAATGCCACCAATATCCAACAACTCCACCAAAAAATCTCCCAAAAAGGAGTTAGAAGCATTTTCTTGCACAGCCATTTAATTCAGCTCTTAAAACGATTCACCTCTTTTGCATGATTACCAAATAAAGATCAGTGGTTCTATGGAACGTCCACCTCCAAGTCAACCTGATCTAGCTTTAACAGAAAATGACTGAAATGCAGAAAATACGCTAAACGCTACGCGCCCAGCTAACCGATTTAATATGAGGAATTGTAAAGCCACAATACTTACTTAACAAGAACCTTACATCTCCTGTATTGACACAATTGCCTTTCATTAGCTCTTCACGAAAGGGTAATTGTTGCTTAGGCCGATATATTGTGTTATGGCAGCTAGCTAGATCAACTTTAGATGTCTGTCATTATAGGTAACACAGTATTTTTATCGTATGGCACTGGTCAGCATTTCCACTGCAGGATTCCAAGTTACTTAAAGGATCATTTTATTCATTTTAAAGTCCATTGTTTGGGTTTATGGGAAATGAAATTCACATTTTCAGTCATCAGAAACAGGCATGGCAAAAGGCTTTGTTGAATTATGAGTTGTTTTCCTCTCATTGTGCATTAAATCAAACACTCACCCAGGTACCCATGTTTGATTTAAAATAATTTAAAAATGCATGTTACTATTTTGGATTGACAGAAAGATTCTATCAAGTGGAAGATCTGTTTTCTGGACCGGTCATTTCTTTGAGCGTGTCCAGTTTGTAGAATGAACTGGGAACAGGAACATTCTGGAAAATTCCCTCCCGTTTTGCAAATTCAGCTTCCGTGTGTTTGTGGATATTTGTCATATCCACTTTGTAACACAACCGGCGGTTAAACTTTCGCATTAACCCGATCCACCTGTTTAACTGAACGCCTTAATTAGCTAAAGTCTCCGTGTTTTGTCAGCTTGAACCCGTGTTTATGCCTGGACGTGCACTTTGGTCCCCCTCAGAAGTGCCAGCAGCATAGCCAAAGGGGAAACTAATTTGGACGGGGGGGGTGTGGAGGCGGGGGCATTGTTGAACGGCAGAGAAAATAGGACTATCAGTTCCACTCAGATAACCCTATCTGTCATTGGACCGCGAGCCAAGTGGTGACCTCAGGAGCTTGAACTTTATTGGCCACGTGACCGGGCAGTAAAGTGACCAGTGGTGTTGCCGGGCTCCGACCGTGGCCAGAGAGGGGCAGATTGTCAAGGGGAGAGGTCGCTGCAGCAGGAGAGAGAGAGAGAGAGAGAGAGAAAGGGACAGAGGCATTTCTGAAAGAAAGTCATGGGGAAACCGGGCCCGGCCTTCTGCAGCTGAGTCCATGCTTGAATGGGGTCCAGGCAGACTTGAAGAAGCATGAAATGGATACGTGGGAAGGTAAGAAAACGAGAACATTAGCAGCTGCTCTTTGATAGCTGAGTGACCACAGTTGGATGAACGAGTGAGGGGCTGTGTATGCGGTTTGGTACAGAATGTGTTTAAAGTGCTCTCAGGTGACTTGTTTATTTTGTTTTCACCTCTTTTTCCTGATAGTTTAGATGGTTGATCTTTAACCCAGGCCTTTTAATGTGAGTTTGATTGGTTTGTCAGTTTGTCCTGTCTCCAGTTGACTGCATTTTTTATTCCTAAAGCATCTTTAAGAAAATAATAGCCATGAAAATTGCTAGAGAATTTTTCCAATCATGCCTTAATTGAGACATACGTGTGGCACTCTGTGGTCTGAATGAATGGGCTGTATTTCTTTTATAATGTTTAGTTGGTGGGAGATCTTCCTGTTGTGAATAGTTAATGGTTTTCAGGCCAAACGAATGAGCAGGAAGAAATTGAAGCCACTTACAGTGATCGATGCCTTCAAGTGCTTTGTTTGTGTGGGTGTTATGACATATATTAGCGCTGCTGTGAATGGCACCCCCCCACCTTCCTCTATATGAATTGATCCTTGGTTTGTGGCTGTAGCTTTGCCCACAGTCAGCAGAATTGATTCAAAAGGGGAAAATATAGAGCTCTTTCCCATATTGATGTGGATTCTTCCTTCTTTTTTTCTTCGCCTTAACTGTTGAAATAGAAATAAAAAGCTCTAAACCTTTTTTTGGGGGGCAGTTTCACACTGTCCCACCCATTAAACCAATAGACGGTCCCTCTCCCCCCCCTACTCTTTCCTCTGTACTGCAGGAATTTCAGAATGAGATCCCTCTTAAGTCTTTAAGATGTACCCCACATGGGTCAGCAATAGGACTCCGCTTGGACTTTTTGTTTGCGCTTTTCCTGATAATTGGCTTTGAAATGAACAACCAGACTGGCTAAAGATGACTGCTATGGGGGGAGTTCCAATTACTGGCTGCTACTTTTTCCTTGGTGACTGACATGTGGATGGGCCATGTTACTGTATTCATCCCTTCCCCCCCCTCATGTTAATCTCTCTCAGCCAGCAATCCTTATTTGTTTGCGCTCAAACCGAAGGTGGGTTAAGTCCACGTGGTAAACCCCGCATTGTTGTTCATATCCCAAAGTGTTTATTAACTGAAAACCCACTGTAAAACAGGGGATAAACGAGTGAGCGAGGGGTTGTTTATGTGAATGTAGATGCAGGACACATCAGTGTGTTAGGATCAGTGGTGGCAGTGGGGGGAGGTCAGGGACTCCTCCGACTCTGTAATTGTTGCCTATAAATAGCCCCGGCCGCGAGCCCCGTCATCCGGGCCGCGCGCACGTTTGCCCCGATCCCAATTCAGCAGCCCCAGCATCCATCTCAGCGTTTATCGTAATGTCAAAGCAAACATCAGGATCCTCATTTTGTAGATCTTTGGCTCTCAAGGGTGTGTTATTTCAACTGCACCCTTCCCCCCAAGCACAAACATCCACACACACACACACAAACACACACACACACAAGACACACCCCCGCACGCACGCACAGCCACACAAACACACACAGTCACAGGATAGGACGAACACATTTCAGCAGTGTTTTGTCCTGTTTGTTTGTTTTCAGATTATTTTTTTGGTTAATAAAAGAGCTAGTTGGGGAAAAGAAAAGAAAAAAATAAGATAAAGAATTTTCAGAATTTTTAGTTATGAGTATGGAACGGAAAAAGGGAAATTTAGCCCCCCAAAAAATATGGCACAGGTTAAATCTGTGATATTTAACATTATTCTTTCATTTCTGTTGGTGAGAACAAATGACAAACAACACATCTTGTTTCAGGTGGAGTCCTTTTCTGAAAATCCTTCCATTTGCTATTTATTGTCATTATTGCCGTCGCCCTTTGGCATTTTCTCTCAGCCTTGACTTGCGTACTAGAATCGGCCGAACATTCTTTTCTTCTTCTTCTTCTTTTTTTTACACTGAATGCCTGTCCTTACACAGCCCTTGCATTTCTCCGGGCTTTAGAACAGCACAAACTGGACAGACACTGGACTGGACAGTCCAGGTTCTGGCCCAAAGACACCTGGACTGGGATCAAACCAACAACCCGCTCTCACCCACACCCGCCCCCATTAATTTATTGTAAATAAGACATGATATTATGTGGTGCATGATAGAATTAGTACCATTCTCTAACCAAATGTGTTGTAATGTTAGCCGAAACATTAATTCAGACTGCCGCGTGAGGGAGTATTTGATTTCAATCCAACTAAAAACTTGATGTTTAATTTAATAAAAACAGTTTGATACTGAATACTTAAGAACTGACAAAAACCTCCCACTGGCTAGCAAATAATGTCTATATTCTAATCAGATGTAAACAAAGCCAGGACTGTTAGCCGTGCACCTGAGCGTGGAGGCTTATTAGCATAATACTAATAAGTAGCCGCGCTATTACTCAATGTTAATGATTCAGCCTGTAAGCAACACGAGCATTATCAGGACGGCCATGTCAACAGGTCACCATTGTCTCGTGGATGAGCTCAGCCCGCCACCACAATGCACGTAACTTTGAAGATTAGCATCACAGTGTGGGCCGCCAGGAATGCCGGATCCCAGCCCCACAGGGTCTTCGCATGCCTCCAACCTCCCCGATTCTCACATCCATACCGCCAAGTAGGGGCTCGGTTCATGCGCGTGGATGTGGATTTGCGTGTAAGTCGGGGGTTATTTTGCCCTTCTTAACCCCACCCAGGAAGGAGAGATAAGTTTCAGAGAAAAAGACGAGATATTAGAAGGTCTAAAGGGGGAAAAAGGAGAGGCTGTGACAGGAGGAAGGAGGGGAGGGGAGGGGGGGGACAGCAGCGGAAAAGTACAGCAGATTCCTTCAACCCCCGCTCCCTGTCTCAGCTGGGGCTGATTGTGATGGAAAGCTGGAGACAAAACCTGCAGAGGAAAGCCCTTCAGTGGCAGACTTGCTCTGTCAGGAGCTCAAAGGGCCGCTTTGCACGACATATCAGCCTTTGTGCGCAAAGGGCTCCGCACAAAGGGGAAGATTTAGATACAGATACATCTCTGTTTTCAGCTGGGGGGGAAGAAAAAACAGAAGAAAAAAAAGCGTTGCTTCCTTTGCCCTCCGGATGGTTCTGGAAAATTCTAATCTCTAAATCATCTTCCACATCTCCAAACAAACAAACATCTTGATGCAATGGAGATTATCTTGTATCTTGAGCCTTTTAGCATCTTGACACAGGTTCTCCATGTTTTTCCTTGTTGCTGGGACACAAAATACTTGACTTTTTTATATATATATCCTGGTTTGCATTAAAGTAGAGGGTCAAATGCAGGCTTAATTGAGCCTTGGGCCGTGTGGGACTACTTTTGTGTGTGTGAGTCGTCGGGCGACTCGCGGTATTGCCGGTTCCTGCATCCAGACTATAGAGAGAGCGAAAGAGGGTGGAGTTCAAGATGAACCGGTGCCCTTTACGGCCGCCTGTCTTCACCTCGGGGGAATTTCTCACTACGTCTCCTTCATAACACCGTGATAGATTTCACAGCCTCAATTCGGGGGGGTGGAGGAGGAGGAGGAGGGGGTTCCCATTCGTACCTGATCAGCCCCACCGGCTCTACTGGCCTCGCCTCGACTCGGTGCATGGGCTTTTCCATTCCAAACCAGGAGAGGCTGGAGAATGATGTCACTCGTGTGCAACACAAGCGTGACACAGAAATGAAGAAAAGCAGCAAAAACATTATTAATCTCATTATTAATCGGGCATTTGCGATGTTGATGAAGACTGAATTGGACATTTGGCGACGCAGGCCGGGTTCATGTGAAGCCCCGGCCAATCAGGTCACTCTTTAGACTTTGTCAGCACATTGTCCTACAGTGGTGGACCAACATTTCTGATAATCGCTGCTTTTTCTCGAGAAAAAACGTTGATCCTCATCTGAAAAGACACTTTTAGTTGCCAGGTTTCCATAATGTGGTAGACACGAGTAAGAGAAATGAATAAAAAAGGTTCAATTAAATAAAAAAACACATTTTCAAATCTAGGGGAAGCAAAATTCTACCTTTATAATGGGATTTTTTCCTATTTAAAGTAGACTTATTCACATTTGAGGGCACAGAAATGACAGTGTCAGTAGCCCGACAAAGGCCCAAGCGAAGTGAATTCCTGTGTCATAATACAATTTGAGCTGGCAAAAAGCAAACTTTACAAAAAAGAAAAAAGATTTGATTGAGGTTGCTTGAGGAATCGCAGCCTCTTTATTCTCTGTCACTTCAATGTAACAGCTCTGGGTTTTATTTTTATTGAGGATAACTACCTGATCTGTTGATGTTCTCAGCTATTGAATGATGTCTCTGCTAGTGAATGTTAATTAGTAGAGGAAATAAAACAGATGCGACTGCCCTTGTGGTTGAGTAAAGAGCAGACTGAATCAAGACTGCTGTCACTTCTGGTCTATAAGCTGTTAATTTAGTCCTACACTCTTCTGTTTATTGCAATGTGCATTACCGGATCTCTCTCATACACTGATCAAATACATACATTTCTTTTATTCAACACTTCTAAGTTTTGGTTTGAACATGATTATGTTTTTTCTAAAAAGTTTTTGATAGAAAGTTTATTTTTTTTCCTGCTAAGATTGACAGCTATCGTGAATAAAGTTAACATGAGACATGGATAGGTTTTAGGCATTGAATATATGGTAAAGATTTTCATTAACCGCACAGTTTAATTCTTATTGGCCACAGCTTCTGTCCCATGATGCAATGGGGTCGTACAAAAAAATTACTGCCCACCAAAACAAAAGTGTAAGTTTTTGAGCTGTTCTCGTTTGTACCACATGTGATGAAACCAGGTTGGTTGTTAGGACTTATTACAGAGCAACAAGAAGTATTAATGGAATCAATTCAGCCACGTTGATCTACACCATAGAGTAAAACAATGTGTCAGCCCTAAATATTTCAATACTATCGGTCCAGTGTTCTTGGGTTGATTGATGTCCAGCCAATCTATTTTATGTTATTTTTTATTTTTGCGCCACATTTGAGATACTGAACAAGGTTTGCAATATTCAGATGAAATAAAAAAGTTAAATGGCCCCATATGTACATATTATATGTGATCTAATGACATTAATCATGGAAAAAAAATGGGTTACAGTTTTCAATGCTAGGTTTCAAATAAGAAGGCTGAGCGAGTTAAATAATTATATCATCTAAGTTTCACAAAAAATGATAAAGTAGCAAAAACATTTTGTTAATTTGGGTTTTTTATCAATAAACTAAGAGCCGATGGTGGTGGAAAGTTTAAATCATAAGTCTCTTATATTGGGTTTCTGATCTATTGCTAAATTACGCTTGTTCTATATATCATGTTCAGCAATTTTTCCTGTTTTTTTCCCCAGAAATTCATAGAAACATGGTTCTGTGATCAAACTTGACAAGAGAAAATGTATTCCCAAAATCAGATATTTTCACTAAAATGAGAAATGATTGCGTTTGGCTTTTCTCACTTTTTGAAAAAAGCATCCTCCATTGTAAAAAGTGGAACTGATATCTGAATTCCATCTGGGTCTGAGTCCCGACCTCACACGAGGCCGGCCGGACCTTCTGGGAATCGAACCCTAATGTAAATGTCACGAATATTTAACTGTCATCTCCAGGCAGGAGGAGGAGGAGTTATAGGACACGGCATGCTGAGATCAAGTGTGGAGAGGTGTGACTCGGCCCGTTTATAGCGTGGCCATGCACTTGAAAGAGAGGGTGATAGATTTGGCAAATAAGCCTGAGTGAGTCGAGCTAATGGCCATTGTGCTTCCAGCTCGGTGAAGGAAGTCAGGCATTTCACATGGGCTGGCCGGGGAGGGTATATGGTTTTGTGTTCTGTGAATGGGGCACATGAGCAGACAAATGGCTGCCCGAGGAGGTGAGAATGCGTACCGTCATTTATTTGATGTGCCACATGTTCGGCGGCGTCACACTGCTGTTTGCCGTTTACAGTAAAAAGCGTCCCTCGCCGTCTTTGAGTCAAAAGCACAACGTTGTTGGAAGTGCAAAAGTTTTTCAGGTCTTTCTTCTCGGACTTAATGAAAGTGTCACTCAGCTTTACTCTAAAGCTCGTCACCGAAAAGCTCCTTACATTCACACTTCAGCTGAACTGTTCTTCAACTCATATGTGAGAATGGATTGTCACTCACCTAAAAATGTAGTTTCAGTATAGAGAGTATACATAGTATATTCATTGTGATGCGCGAAATTATAAATCACTGTTCAGTAAGGGAATAGCGTCTCTGAACGAGTTTATTCAGTTCAATTAACAGTTGACAATTATGACGAGAAAAATCGCCTGTCAATTTTTCTAGTCATATTTGGACCATTTAGCGTGAATTTTAAAAACTGTACCAAAAAAAAATATAAATGATTTTTTTTTATTTCAAAATTATTAGGGTAATCATTCACTTGCCTAAGTTAAACTAGCAAAATACCTGTCATTTCATGTAATGTGTTGAATATCTCTAATAATCTCTATTAATTTGACTAAAATACTTCTAAAATGTACTCATCCTAAACTGTGCTGTGCAAAAACAGCGTAAAGCCGCCATAATTATTTCAAAGTTACCAGCTTGTTTTGGAAGATTATATTGGCTTACGTACTGGTTCTGAATGTGGAAAACCAAAGATAAATATGCTACAATTTAGAACAAGTATTTCTAGTTTGTGTACCTGCTAAAAAACACATTAAATTAGGTGTAATCATTATAATGATTCAACAGGCTCCCTCCCCACACCTTCTACTGCACTCTCTCCTTCTATAATGTCCTTTGACTAGTGAGTTCCTTCTGTGTAGCTTATTATTAGCTGGAATGTTTTATCTGCGTTGTGAGTCACTTATGTTGATGCACTTTCGATCTGCTAAATGCATAAAGTCATGAATGTTGTATGTAGTGCAAAAGCCCCATTGGGTGGTCAGTGAGACCATAACAGCTTCTGGAATTAGGGGTTAGGGGAGTCACGTGACTGATACCCAACAGACCCCCACTTATTTTAAAATGCAGCCATAAACATCCAGCTGAATTCATCCTGTGACCGTCAGCAGTGTAAATCGCTAATATGGGAAAACTGATTGTTATTGAAAACAATATGTTTGATAGCATTAAGAGTGGACCTCATTCCTTAAAACTCTCATAAGATTTGGAAGTGAAAAGTAGTTGAAATGCATTTCTATGTAAGGATACGTTTGTGTACGAATGGCGGCTTGTTTTATTTTGTACTCTCTTTGTTCTCTCAAGATGGATTTAATGTCAATCCATCTTATTTTGATGGAGTTTTCCCCTAAAGATAGCCACCAAGATTTTCCTTTGGAAAAATTGTCATTATTCTTAAGAGGAAGACGAGAAAAGCTCTGAAAACAGCACAGTCAATATTTTGGTCATTTTCCTCAGACGTAAGCAATCCCAGTGATGGATGACTTTTAGTTTTATTTCAGCTGTTGTTTGTTTGCTGATAACAGACGAGGGGCAGAGGACCCCATGGACAGGTCACCAGTCCATCACAGGGCCATGTTGATGTTCATCTGAAAAGTCTGTTATTAGTATCATCATCAGAAATTGCCAAGTGATCTTACCTGATAACCAAAATAATAGAAACCTGGCAATGTAACTGGACCTGTGCCATATAGGTGTATTCTTCATATACTGTGTTTATTGTGTTGATTTCTTATTTTCAGAATGAAGGAAAATCCATACATTCATCAACCTGAGGGTCACCATATACTGCAATCACATATTGGTTAAGCATCTGTGGCTACTCTTCAATACTTCACAAATAGCAAATGATGGTGGTTTAGTGCTGTTTTATTGTGCGTTTATTGACGAGAGAACAGAAGAGCTATGACAGTGTTAACATATTTCCTTCTATGATGATCTTGCTTGCTAAGAGGCTCAAAAACCCAGAGGTGAGCAGGATGCCTGTGTCTATTGAGATAGAGTTTTTTTCAACCCGTTTGCCTTGCCCATACCCTGATGCGGCCCCTGTACTGGCCAAAAAAAACTAAAAACACCTGCTGACATTTTTCATTTTGAGTGCAAAACAAAACTGTTGTGGGTATTTGTAGACTTCAGTTGATGAGCACAACACAACACACGGGTCCGCACCCAAATTTCTATGGTGGTGCCGATCACAAGGCTCCAAAAGGAAATACAAATACGTTTTTTGGGCTATTCCTTTCTGTTAACAGATATAACCCCCATTACTTCAGAAGAACACACAGTGATCCAACACAACCTGCGGGACACGGGTAGGACATGACCTGATGGCGTTACTTCGTGTTGTCACAGTTTCCAGGTCTGCCCTCGGAGGGGTTTTATCAAAACCACGTTTTCCCACCAATCAGGAGACGGCCGCAACCTCCTAATGAGCCCTGTGGTTTCCGCCACACAGCCAGCTTGTAACAAAAATCCTTTGATGTTCTAAATTCCACAACAGAGGATCGTTACTTTCACATTGACTTAACCTCGGCGACATATAGAGTTAATCACCAAAATAGTTAAATTCTAATCCCTGGATGGACTCACTGGGTGACACTCCATTGTCTCTGTACAGTATAGCCGCCCCTGAAGTCTTGCGCAGGCAGCAAATTTAAACCTCGGGCCATTTAAATGGTAATCTGTCTTTGGGCTTTTGAAGACCTCAATTCACCATTCATTATCTGGGAAAGGCTTTATACTATATGCAACCCCCACGCCACCCTCCTCTAATTACCTTTAGTACATGAACCCTGCAGCTCACTATGAAAACCCCCCTCTCTATGGGAGGCTTAGCCCTGAGCTCAGTCACATGCCTCTGGTGAGCTCGCTCTCTAAATCATACACACACACAAACACACACACACACACTGAAAGCGTAATCTCGCTCATTTTGATATTGAATATCAGGCTACTTTGGATCGTTGCTAGTTAAGATACAGCGGCCTTTAATCGGGGAGAAGGCGGCGAGGTCAGCATTTACAACACAACACATCCGGTTTCCCCAAGTCCACACCCTTTGCAACAAACCGAATCAGCCAGTCAGAGCTGGGCTTTTTCCCTGTTTCATCGGTATGCAGCAGGCTCAAGAATCAAATTCCTTACCGAGACCATTGATGACCGGTTGACTAACAAAATGTTTGGACCGTTTGCTTAAAGGTGTTCTTGTAACTAGTGTAGTCGAGAAATGTAACTTTGGAAGCTGTTTCTGTTTATTCTTAAACCATTTTTCCTAAGTATGTTTAAAAAATGATAATAGTAGTTTATGCTACGATGTATGGAGGAAGGGGTTTGATCAAACGATTGAATTAAGTCATTTACGAGCATTCAAACAAGTTTCCTGAATACTGAATGTAGCCAGCCTGTATTTTCAAAGCCATCGTGGAGTATGTCTCAGAAAGCCTGTTTGTCTGCCCCCATTAATGGCCGGCCAGCACCAGGATCCAACAGAAGGGTAAAGGCCCCAACGTTTGTGTTTACCTCAGTTATTTGCATTACTGGAGAGTCTTACATTAATCAGATTTGCAGGTTAATCCCCGGTCTGAGACGGCAGCATTAACCTCAGAAATATTCTGTTTCTTTGCTTCTGTTTTTATGGTGCTGCTGGTTCAATGTCCTGGTCAAACCAGGCCAGCCGCATTCTGGGTTCATGGACCATTTTTTCTTTTTTCCTTCATACCACACAAGCTAAACCTATTTTCGTTTTAGTGTTTGATTAGATTGTTGCCCCAGTTCAATTCCTACAAAAACATTTAAACGAAAAAGATATTATTAATAATTGTTAGTGATATATGTGTCATCTTTTTGGATTTTGTTAAGGAATGTGGACAGAGCAGATTTTCTTCTTTTGGGGGGGGTTGTTGAACAGTTTCTCTGTTTGTCTGTGGCCCTCAAAGGAAACGCCATGTGACAAAAACCAAATACCCACATTAATGCCCCCATTAAAGTGTGTTGGTGGCCGGAACGTGTTGATGGAGGCTGCTAAAATGGTCCAAGTTTTTTTTTTTAAATGGTGTGAAATAAAGGGGTATTGATGAGGAAAACGTGTTTTCTTGAAAACCGAAAATGGATCGCATAGTCACCCTTCAGGATATTGATCCTAGGCTTACAAGGCTTGTTGAGAGAGAAGAAATAAAAGCAAATAAAACATTTTAGGGCTCCAATACTTAAAATCTCATATAACATTCATTCAGTTCAAACCATGGCGTGTCGCACAAAATGTTACATACACCTGTACTTTGCAGTGTTGATGTTAATGCTAATGTTAATTTTACCTTTTATTTTTTTCTTCAACTTTTTTGTTTTGAAAATCACTGCTATTGGTGTGATTATCTGAATCAAGTTTCTGTGTGAGCAATCTAGGCCTAACTACTGTAATCACTCCGTGATGAAACCTCTGAAACACAAAACTTCTATTAAAGTGGGTCAGGTACCAGAGTCTTTGGCAGCTCAGATAGACCTACTCAAATTTGCCAACAGGATTATAAAGCAGATGATTTCTCTTCCTGTGGACCTGATGAAGAAAGTTGCGTGGCATCAAAGCTGAAAGGAGAACGCCGGTTAATGGTCAACATCTTCATGAAAAGTACAAGTGGGCAGCCGGGATGAAGTGAATTAGTCTTGACAGCAAGTATTGTGCTCTCAAACTTAACTCTCAGCTTTCTCTATAAGTTTGATTCGAGTATTATGAGGCCTGGAGGTAGATGGGGGGGATTAAGAGAAGATTTTCAGCAGCTTTCTTAGATTGCTGTCATTACACTTAGAAAGCCCTGCTGTGATTAGCAAAGTAGCTTTATAGAATATGATCCTGCAATCCATCTCTTTGATCCTCCTCCACCACTGAAAGCTGCTGTGTGGTCCTGTAAATTAGCTTTTTAAAAAAATCACATTTACTGAGTTATAAGTTTTATTTCAGTGCCACTTTGTCCGGCTCTTTCACGTTCAACAAGAAAACCCCCAAAACATCTGCTTCCTTACTTGGAGTCCACTCCTAAATAACATCACCTCCTTCTTTAACTCATTTCTTTCCCAAACATTTGTAGTTCAGAGTGCTCATGACGAGGCACTCTTTTAGGAATAAAGGGGGATCGAGTACTGGGTCCCTTTTTGTCTGTGCAAACACAGAACAGGTGTTTTTTTCTCTAAAAATCTTATAGGTAATAGGTAAACTCTTATGTCATGTATCCATCTTGGAGTCCGATGTCTTCGAAGAACGATGGTCTTTCATTGGATACTGCTGTTGTTAATCGGAGTAGGAAGGAGAGACTGTAAACAAATCACTCTCGCCATTGTAGCCCTTCAGAGCCGCTGAATAAAACATGCCGAAGAAAGCTCCATTCTCCGTTCTCCTCCCTGTTGCACCCAAACGAGAGTCAGGGCTTAAGTTTCCAGTTTCTGGATCATAGTCAATGCAAACAGTTTTTTTTTTTTAATTCTTTTTTTAAAAACCTGCCCCCTTGTGTGTCCTCCCCAGATGATGCAGCTGATCAGCGTACTTGCCTCATCTGTGGGGACCGTGCCACGGGCCTGCACTATGGCATCATCTCCTGCGAGGGCTGCAAGGGCTTCTTCAAGCGCAGCATCTGCAACAAGCGCGTGTACCGCTGCAGCCGCGACAAGAACTGCGAGATGTCCCGCAAGCAGCGCAACCGCTGCCAGTACTGCCGCCTGCTCAAGTGTCTGCAGATGGGGATGAACCGGAAAGGTAACGGGGGGGCCTCCAAAAGCACAAACGGTCGAATGAATACTTGCCTCAGTCAAAAAGTCGGAAAGAATAATCTTCTTTACCATAACAGTTTTCTGTTTCTTTTTACATATTGCGTGACACTCACACACTAAACTATAAGGCAGAGAACCTGTTCCACATGTCTAGATAAAGAGGAAATGTAATAAAGTGGTCTGATGTGTCAGATCCGAATGATCATTAATATAAGCGGGAGTGTTGTATGGGCATGTTTTTGCTACTCCGTCATCCCGATGCATATCCACTGGGTTCCCAGCGGTTTTTTGTCGCTTCTCTGACTGCACATCAGCTTTAAATGAACTGAATCCATCTCCATATTCAGACAAACAACACACCAGGCCTAGAAGATAAGATTGCTAATACTTTTGCAGGGTGGCTGCAGTCACCCACGCTGTTACAATGCAACGTAGGCTGACATGCTCTGGCACGGAAACCCTTTGGCATATTTAACTGTCAAAATGTATAAGTCTGCACAGTCCCTGGACGCTTATTATATACTGGCCTACTTACCTAATCAAACTTGATACGTCATAGCATAAAACGTGTTAATTTGCATGAAACCCCCCTTACAACTTGACTAGTGCACATTATTTATTTAATTTCCTCTTTGGAAAATTGTTCCATACGGTTATTCTTTGTTTGATGTTGAAGATAAAGCGTTTAAGTGAGATTATGATGAAAAAGATTTGTTTTCAAGAACTAGGTCTTTTTTATAAAATCCAGAGATTGACTGAAATGTACTGGCCTGAGCAATAAATGTACATAGTAATTTTTAAGATGCTCCATAACACACATTTTTAGAGTTGGATGTTAGATAAAAAGCAGACTCCCACCACTGAGTATTCCTCACAGCTTTCATTAATGCACACTGCCCTCCAGTGGGGTAAAGGGGAGCAACCACTGTGTTGTGTGCCAGCATTGCAGCCTTGTTTTGTAGAGTGTTTTCTATAGATACAATGCCTCAATATTTTCATCATGAAAATTGCTACCAATGTTAAAGGGAAGAAAAACCAAAATAGGCTCCAACAGAAACGGGGAAAAGTCAGAACTGCATTCCAACCACACTGCGAGTTTCAGCCACCAGGTCGAGCTGTAATACATTTAATGGCTTTTAATGTCACCTTTTCTTTTTTTTTAATTATCATATAGCAATCAGAGAGGATGGCATGCCAGGAGGGAGGAACAAAAGCATCGGGCCTGTGCAGGTAATTCAACCACAGTGTTATTTCTCTGACACCGTCTGACCGTTTCCCGACGTCCTGTCTCTCTGCACGTATAATGAGATATTGTGCATCGGGTCAGTGTATTAGCAGACCATTCACTTAAGTTCCACACAGTTTGAGTACAGTAATTCTACTTATGTAGGCATAGCGATGTTCAAGTAATGAGAAGGAGCCCCTGACCTTGTTATATCACCAACCGTGCTGATTATTTCTATTCAGCTCTGGCTTCATTATTAACTGAGTAAAGAGCATGAGTAGTCATGAAAATGTGTGACATGAGGATAAGAACCACAGAGCTGCTATTCAGGAGAGGGATGTGGTCAATTCTTCCCTGCTCAATTCAGCAAGTAAAAAAAACACAGAAGCGGCTGTTTCCATTAAGAGCTTTCTTTCCAAGCCCCAGTTGGAAGGGGGACCTCTTTCTCATTAATATGGATTGAATTGCCTGTTTTGGTTTAGGTCCTGAATAGATAGGAATGAAAGCGAATTGACCTCAGTCACAGATACAAGACACCACATTTTCTGGGACTGTAAAGCTTTTCAGAATGGTTTTTGTCTGTGTTTTCTGCCTGCACTTACCTGCAAAGATTCTATTATTTTAGGCGTGTGTACTACTCAAATACGATCCCTTTCAAACAAACACTGGCACACACCCACGCGCGCACAAGCACACACACTCACGCAGAAGCTAATGCCTGATGTCTTTCCGTCTCTTAATTCCTTTTTTTTTTTATTGTGGGATTGCGTCCTTGTTACTCAACACTGGAATGAAAAGCAGCACCGTGGCAGTCATTGTCAATCAATTGAACCGAGATCCACACAAATTTCCCCCTCGCACGAGCACGTGTGACCGATGCGTGTTTGCGTTTCAGATCACAGAAGAAGAGATAGAGCGGATCATGTCGGGGCAGGAGTTCAAGGAGGAGGCCCCGGAGCACGCTTGGGGCAACAACGGCGACAGCGACCACAGCTCCCCCAGCAATGGAGTTTCAGAGGGCAATCAGCCATCGCCAGCCTCCACTCTGTCATCCAAGTGAGTTGTTCATCTCAAACACTTAACCACGCTTTGCTAGCACTCGCCCTAACACGGAGATAATGAGCCGGCCCTGACAGTCTAAACGCCTCGTTCCCATCTCACCCAGACTTTAGTTAAGGTATTCAGCAGCCAAAGAATGCCTGAATATGCAGTTCCTCAGGCTCGGCGATGATAGCAAACAAAAAGAACTCTCTGCACTATCTGCTATTCTTGCTATGGAGTCAAGCGCATTGTCTATCTGCACCCATCAAGGACAAATATTGTCTAGGCACTTTCATGACGGCATTTATTTTCGTCTCATTTTGTGTAAACATTAGGCTTATCTCTGCAGCCGCATTGAAAGCTATTCAGAGAAATACTTGTTTTATCAAACTGAATCTTTGCAGAAATGAACAGCGGCCACAGAAGGTCTCTGCAATGCAGGCTTTAGTACGCAGGTACAATGCAAAGTTTAGGTCTACAACAATAAATGTCAAGATTTTTCATTTTAACCACATTCACACATACATCAAATACACATACATCAACACATACATATATATATTACACTAAATACTATGAATGTGTGTGTGTGTGTATATATATATGTATATGTAATATGTCCATCCTTGTTTACCTTCTGAACCATGTGTGCTTCCAGCCGCTCGGTGGAAATGAACGGCTACACCGCAGCCCTCAGGGAGCAGTACATCAACAGCTCGGTGTCGACACACTACCAGCTCCTACCTCACCTGTTCAGCTACACCACCCAGTCCGGCCTTCTCACCCCCCAGCCCCGCAGCCTCTACCCCCAGTCCCATCCCTTGGTGCTGCAGCTCCTGGCGGCCGAGGACCTCTCCCACCTGACCACACCCATGCTCATAGAAGATGGGTCAGTGAATATGACACTTAGAGTAGAAGTTTAGATAAAACTATAGTGTTCTCACACAAGCACTGGAGATTTGAAATTCGTTAGAGGTGTTATGATGCGTCAAAAGCATTTTGGGATGAGCAAAGAGCTTTGTTCAAACAAGTTTCTGGAACTAACACCCTTGGAAGAATCAACAGCCGGCTAACAGTCTGGAGACAGGATTGAGTATAAAAAGTAGCATCCATCACAACCTCGGTTGTTCCAAGTAATAGGATAGGAGAAGTGTTAGTTGTTTTTCTTTGTTTTAAAGATTTTTTGGGGTTCTAGCCCCCTAAATAAGTCATTTATAGAAAAGAAAATCATCCCTCAGTACAAAACATAAAAAGTTAACTTTCATAATCTACAAAGAAATTCAATTTTTTACTTGAGCTATTAAAAAAATATCCTCACAAAAATAGTCTGATTGAAACAGACGGAGCTGTATGAAATTTGAAAAGGACTGGAATGACTTAGACTGAATTGGTTCTGATGTTACTGGATGTTCCACCTGTTTTCTTCCCCGCATTACGATTTCTTGACCCGGCGAGAAATGGTAATGCCATTGTCAACAACAAGACCACACGGTCATGAGACCTCTTTTTAAAAATTTGACATAAAGTCTTTCAAAAAGTATGATGTGGGATAATTTCAGTGTTAAATAAGACATGACTGAAGCAGCGTTTGTCACTCACAGGTACAAGGTGACGCAGGTGGAGTTGTTCGCCCTGCTGTGCCGCTTGGCCGACGAGCTGCTCTTCCGCCAGATCTCCTGGATCAAGAAGCTGCCCTTCTTCTGCGAGCTCTCCATAGAGGACTACACCTGCCTGCTCAGCTCCACCTGGCAGGAGCTCATCCTCCTCTCCTGCTTCACCATCTACAGCGCCCAGATCTTTGGGGATCTGGCGGACGTCACAGCCAAGTACACCCCGTCTGACGACGAGCTCCAGGGGTGAGTGTGTTTGGATTGACCTAAAGGGAACTTTCTTTCCTTCTTATATGTTTGACTTAACAGTGTAAAAGGACATAAATGAAGTGACACACGCTGTAACAACCCTAATTATTCTATCAAAAGAACAATCTTTTACTTCAGTTGGAAAATAAAATCTAACTTTTAGTTATGAAATATGTACTGATTTACTTTTCATAAAATAAATATGAAATATGCTCCTCAAATGTCTACGGTGTGTGTCACCATCATTCAGCAACTGTTTTGATTCAGTCGTGATTCTGTTAGGGTGGTAGTGTCTGACACCAGCAGGCATCTGTTTTAAGCTCAAATTGCTATGGTAAAATAACCTTGTAGCTCATGGGTCCCAAACTAAAACAGCAATACTGCAGTCCAATTTAAGTACCAATACTAAACAAATTTAAATTATGCATCTTTGGATCATGTATTGCACACAGACCAACATTAAAGCGTAAACAGGTCACATAAAAACTCAAGTAATATTCAGGAAAACGAAGAGCTGTAAACCGAGAATATTTTGGACAAAAGCAACACATTGTAACTAAAAACATATATTTTGAAAATAGTCCTGGATCTGAATTTTGCATAGACATTAGCGGCTAGATTCTTAAACTTTGGCTGGAATGGAGTCAAGGCCTTTTTTAAACATAAACACCGACGCAGGTCAAATGAAAGCGTGTGCTTCTGCATATTCATCTTTAAATGTGCGATTTCCACTTTGCTTATTTTTAATACAATCATTTTCTTTTACTCATTGTGTCACTCTGTAAAACCATTCAGTCATTAGCTGACTGTAAGTTAGCGTCCAAGCTTGTTTCTTAGCAACAGCCCCCGTTGAAGGACCCCCAGGATGTAGCTGACTGGAATAGCAGCCCGTGGCGCCTGTTCAAAAGTCAGACACCGCTGCCGGCTGGAGAAAAAAAGAAAAGATAAAAAAAAGTCTAAATCTAACTTGGTACATAGTAACTTAGAAAAAAAAGCTTTGCGGTCCAGACAAAACCTTTTCGGGTTTCAGAGTCCGGGAGCCCTGCTCTAGCTACATGTTTGTAGATTCAAAAGAAAAGTGTTAGCTATTCTACATGCCATGTAACTGCATACTTTACAACTAAGTCCATATATTTTCCCGCAGTTCACTGCTTTGTAAAGAGGGGATGCTGACATTTTTTAATGTTATGTCTGATGGGTATATGTGTTGATTATATCTCACTCAGTCTGGCTATCAGGGCCTCCTATCACTCTTTTCCAGGCCAACTATCTCACTATTAGCACACACATTATATTAACTGTCAGATGTAAGCTAGTGGAGCTGAGCCAGGCTAATATTTCATAAAGAGGAAAAATAGATATCAGAAGTTAAATGATCCACACTGCAACAGCAGCCATCTATAAAGGCCAGACGTTCTGCCTAGTGAGCCCAGTATCTTATAAAGCGTTTGATATTTCCCTCTAACACAGAATGGACATTATTTTTCTTGGCCGAGGGCCAGCAATTAGTCCATAAGCAGGAGAACTCCTCAGGACGGAGCGGTGGCTAGCACTGCCTGGCATGTGAAATATATACGCTCATCCAGCTCCAGGTAGGAAAGGATGTTTAGGGCTACAATTTGTTCCCATTTAAATTCGACTCGTATCATCTGACCTTGTGACATACCTGGCTCACCATGCGCCCTGCTTCTCCAGACGTCAGGTTTTTAGCATCATTGTTTTGATTTACAGTGGAAAGACTAACATATGTGAGCGAGATAAAGAACTGGGGGGGACAGGGAGGCAGGGAGGTGAAGTTTGATGAGGCTAATGAAACTGTATGACTCTTTCTAACGTCTGAAAGTTGTGGGACCCGTGCATTTTTTTCACGTTCTGAGAGTTTCTCTCAAATACCCTCCCTCATTTTTGCCTAGCTCCTTGAACCATGAAAGCAAAAGATAAAGTCAGGGGACTTCACTTTTTCTTTTACCACTGTTTTTCCCCTTTTAGAGGGTTTTAACATGGATTGTAACGCATTTAAATCCTGAACTTTTTCATTTCTTTTTATGTTTTATATTGCTAAAGGCCACTAAATCTCACGTCAGTAATCATTCATCTAAACGCAAATTTGTGTGTTTTATTCTCCAGCTTCAGCGAAGATGGCATGGAGGTGATGGAGAGATTGATATACCTGTTTCGGAAGTTTCACCAGTTGAAGATCAGCAACGAGGAGTACGCTTGCATGAAAGCCATCAACTTCCTCAACCAGGGTAAAAGCTGTGTATCCCCGTGCATGAAGCTGCTGGTCGCCCGTGTCGTTTTTCCCCTCACGCCCTCACTGAGCCTGTTTTCTCCCGCAGATATCCGGGGGCTGTCCAACATCTCCCAGCTGGAGCAGCTGAACAAGCGCTACTGGTATGTGTGCCAGGACTACTCGGAGTACAAGTACCCGCACCAGCCCAAGCGCTTCCCCGAGATCATGATGTGTCTGCCGGAGATCCGCTGCATCGCAGGTAGGGCCTCGAATTGACTTTGGGGGGCTTTACTCAACTCAACTCAACTCAACTTTATTTATAATGCGCTTTCAGTCAGCCAAAGCTAAAATCAAAGCGCTGTACAGGCCATTTGAGCAGATCATAAAACACAATTATCACCACAACACAAGACAAACTCAAAGTTTAAAAACAGTAAGAGCAAAAAATAAAAAGAAACAAAACCAAGTAAGAGAGGGAAATTAAGACAACTAAGATAAAGTCGAAGTCTCACTCAAAGGCCTGAGAGAAAAAGTTTACGACCAGACGTCGACACAGTTAGGTTTCAAATACTAATTTGATTGCATTTCATCAGTTAAACTAATTCAGAAAAAATATTCACCCGTCCAATTCCAAACCGGGGTCTGTCTCCTGTGTTTTGAAAGACTTTGGGGAAGTTTTAAATGGACAAACCATTGACGAGTGAGCATTGAATGGATATTGCTGCATGTTCTCAGGAACTCTTATTAAAAATGGCCTCTCAACAGGCACAGTCTGTTTTCAAGGTATTGAAATTCAAGGTAAAGCTCCGCTATACAACAAAGACTCTCACATAGAGAAGTGGGAGGAATCTTGAGTACCTGTAGAGAACATACATATCCATATGACAAGATCCCTGCTGGAATAAGAAGTCATGAACACATCCACATAGCATCACTTAACCTGCTTAGAGCAGTCCAGATGGACGGTCCCTTTTCTCTTTGGTTTGATTGTTGAAAACTGATTTGTCAGGACCATATTTGGAGTTTTTCCTTTCCAGTCTCGATTTTTTCATTACAGAGTAATGCCGATTTGTGGAGATGGAGGAGGCACACAGCCTCGCAGAATGCACTAAAATCCCTTCAAATTCCCCAGATGGTTGAATTACATTGAAGGATAAATGTTTTTCTTTTAGCAATATAGTTACTTCAACATTTCTTACTCCTTCAGACAAACTGGAGGTCCTCTGCCCGTCTTTGATTCTGAAGGCTTCGCCTTTACGTATAAAAAAACACCACAATTTTGGCCACATATTGCCAGAGTTAAATCTTTAGAGAAAACTACACAAAGTTACCACGTTGGCAAAAGTGAATGAAAGTTCTAAACCGTATTTAACCTGTAGTCCGACTACACCTGCACAAATAAAAGGCTGTCATTTAGTTCATAATCAGAAATAACATTCTAAAAGCACACGGACTAAATGTGGAACACGCTAATGCTCCTAAAGGCTTCAGCTAAGGTGATGTCCATTGTTTTTGCCTCTCAGGGAAGTTGGTGAACGTCCCCCTGGAGCAACTCCCCCTTCTGTTCAAAGCAGTCTTGCACTCCTGCAAATCCAGCCTGACCAGCTACAGGACCGGCCCGCTGCCCTGCCTAACCACCTCATCCGGAAACTAAACCCTCCTCCACTGCCCACGTCAAGGGACTGGGTCCCCTTCCTGTGAATGTGACAAGCAGCTATTTCTTTTTTTTTTAAAACTATTTTTCCTTTTAATATTTATTACATGACAGAGCTGAATGTATGCTGATTTACACTGTGCACATGCTTCTGTACAAAACAAATGCTCGTAGATGCATTGGTCTTTGGAGTTTACAAGTGTATATCCAGTTTGCTCAATGTGTCAGTGTTGCCATTGTTAGACTAGACTTTAAAAGAGTTTATTTTATTCAGATGGGGCAGCAAAGACACATTTGTGATTTGTGACTACCTCAGGAAGATGTTGCTATTTTCAGGTACCTTTTCTTGCTTTTAAATGAAGAGTTGCCTAGTCTAAAACCAAACCTGTGGATGCTCTGGCATCTCAATCACAGACAGAATGTTCAAATGAGCTGCGAGAAATCCGAGTTTGAGAAGCAGTGTTTGCTACACTGGAGATGCAAAATTGACTAGCAAAATGGAGCTACTTTATATGCATGGACCCTCAGATATCCTGCTTAGGTGGAGGCGGTCCTACCAATTTAACATTCCGTGAGTTAAGGTAACAGTTGTTGGATCTGTGGGATCTTTGAAAAAGGAGCATACGGGTATTTTTTACAATCATAGATAGGGAAGTAAGGCTATATTGCAGGGGAAAGGGGAGGTTAGCTAGGTTTGCCGTTTGTCGTTTTTATTGTTTTTCTTTCTTGACCAAAGTGTTATGCAATGCTTTTTTTTTTTTCAAACACCCACCGATGGGTAGGGAGCTGACAGCTCAACGACAAAAAAAAAAAAAAAAGAATCTTTCTTATCCATGAAGGATCAGGATAAGAAATTAATCAATATATATCGGAGGGGAGACAGACAAGTGCGTCACCAGAATGAATTGAAAATGCTGCTATACGCATATTTTCGTGTGCACATATGCATCCAGCAGACGCGGTGCTTCTTGTCAGAGGGCTCGTTTTTGGTTGGGAGGGGTGGGGGGGGATTTTTGCAGCCCTCATTGTCAGAGAACATGGCATATTTTGGCCTGCTGTCCACAAACTGTAACGATACTCTCTGTTCGGAGTTAAAGAGACAGTTGGGGAACGAGAAGTGAAAACTCGGTGTATTAAAAAAGAAAAAACCAAAGACACGGAATGCACAAGTTGTACGGTCAGAACAATCAAAAGAATTAGCTTAACCTCCCAGAAGCCGCTAGTTTAGCTCGCCTCGTTTCACACCCACAAAGCTTTGGTGGTTTTGCTAGTTGTGGTGGAAGTTACTCTTATTCTGTCTTGTTAGATCCAGTTAGAAATGCCCCCCCCCCCCCCCAGCCCCAAACCAAAAAGAGCTTTAACACAACCGGAATCCATTCAGAGTCACGTCTGATCTGCCTCTCATCTCACACCACATAAAATTTTAGAAGCATTCCACTGTTTTTTAAAAGGAAGATCAAGCTTTGCAGGCGAGCAAGAGAACATGAGACCTTACCAATATTTAAAATAACAAACGGAGGGATAAAACTTCTAAATGTAGCTTGTATTACATCACTACTTTAGTGTAAGCAGTGAAAACGGGGCAGAAACCTAAAGACATTTCATTGATCTGCTCCTGGTGGAATCGGGGGGGAATGGATTCTGGAGAATAATGACCTGATTAAGTTTGGTCCTGCTGCTTTTGGGGGCTAAATTAGGATTCCCATATACATAAAACTAGTTCATCCCAGAGTATAAGGAGAACTCGACTGGTAGTGGGTCCACTGTGTTTAAGGGGGGGGGGGGGTTCCATGTGAATCAGTGAATGCTAAACAGAGAAGATTTCAACCGTCTGTGAAAGATATGCACATTGTTTTTTCTTTTTAGCCGTAGAAAATCTTTTTTAGGGTTTTTATTTGGGGGTGGGGGGGGGCGTTTAAGAGG